TGCCTAAAAAGTAGGCACATCACAGGAACCAGCTGCAGATACCAAGAAACTGCACCCTAGGAACCTGAAACTCATTTTCCTTACACCCACCACATGCCTGGTAACAGGGTTCTGCCCATGTCAGGTGGTGAAGGAAGGATATAACCAGAATTCAAAATCTTTACTGAGCTCCACTGGGTATTTGGGCATCTGTCATGACTTTTGCAATTTGAATGGGTTGAACTTTTCAGTTTGATAAGAAAAGATACTAGGAAGCAATGAACTGGAACATAATAGAATTTTATGAGATATAGTATTTCAAACTCTATTAAAGCTACATGTACAGTATACTTGAGAAGTTGAAAATTCACTCAAATTTGAATTTATTTAAAATCTCACCATGCTTCTGATTGATGAATTACTCTAAAATCACTTACAAACTACTGAGAGTTTCCTTCTGAAAATACCTCTGAATCCCACTACGACTCTCTCTCAACTTCATCCCACTGGCCCCTCACATCACAAACTAACTATTCAGATTACTCTAGGCAGAACCCTGAGATAATAACGGTCAGACTTAGGTAATTGTTGTAAATAGTTCATTTCAATTTGCAGACCACAGTTTCCTTCACATAAAGTTTTAGAGGCAAGCAGTGCCAAATGTGACAAAAGAAAAACAATGTCAACCTGATATTCTTCTGTGTGATCTGATTTAAATAAGATAATGTGTACTGTCACACCCATGTAAGCTTTATCTTTTATTTGTTTTAGTCTGAAACTATCAAGAACAACAAAAATAGTTTGCAAAAAAATGCAAAACTATTATATATCATTGCCAAACACAATCCACAGTATAGGAGGTTATTATGTATTTTAGTTAAAATTTAAAGTTTTTCTAGATTCAGACCTATGCTACATACAGCTTATATGCCTGTGGGAGTACAACAGAAACAGCATTAACATAAAGAGAGCATCAAGAGTCGGCATTAATCCCCTGCAGTTTTCTGGAGCGTATTTTAACGCAAGAGCAAAAGAAGTTAAATCCATTGAAGACTGAAGGGTTAATGTACAAAACAGCTAAAAATAGGGTTTGATTATGACTATGGCATTGGAATGGGGTAAGCCAGTTTACAAAGCCCAGTGGCACTTAAATATAATAAAGAAAACAGGAAAACAGGCTTGCATTGTAATTTTTCTAGCAAAACCGACAAGAACTTTAAAAATTACAACATTCTATAATTCGAACTGCTATATAAAATGGGTGATTTCCGAGGTACAAAAATGCAAATATCGTGTAGAGCAATGTAATCTGCTATATTCCCCCACATGTGACTTCCACACCAATGACTGAGACACAGACATGGGTGACTGAACACTGTACTGATGAAGAATGATAATAAATGAGTATGGTTATGGCTTCAGCTGTGGATCCTCCTCTTAAGTCATGAGCACATCACCATGAACACTGGCTGGATTACAAAATGAATGACGTTAAGAAACACATACCATGAAAAGAACTGCAAACCCATTTACTTTTTGGGTTTCACAAACTGACCAAACCAATCATGACCTAAACAAAACTATCCCAGGTTAGGTTAGACCCAAGCTGTAAAAGTCATGGAATATATTCCTAACATTATCCATCATGTGGTTGTATCTGTGGCACAAAAAGGGTATCAGCCTCATAAATCCAGTTTGAAGTCAACTGTACAATATACATATAAATAAGATCATGACTGAAAATGCTAACTCTTCATTACCGATACCTAAAATAATTTGCAATTAGTGACAGGGTTGAGGTTCAACTACTATACTCAGGGAAGACTCATCAAAACAAAATTTGTACCACATTCAAATTATTCAAATAACAACTCTGGAGCAAATAATAATAGTTAAAATAATCAGTGATAGCAAAAATAAGTGATAACAATAACCTGAAACCATACATATAGTATCAATCTTTATGACCTTCAGTATGCATATCATACATACATATTAATAATAACAGAAACTAATCATCCACAATGACTGATGCAAAAAAAAAAAAAAAAATGCCATGAGCTCTGAGAACAGTGTTCAGAATACAACACTTCAAAAACATTATGTTAAACCTTGGCTACACACTCGCTGACTTAGTTGTACGTATAATTAGAGTTGTACGCTTAATTGCAGTATAATACTATTTATAAATAACTATGTATGTGTACAGCTATGACTGCAATTCTTGTAAATAATTCAGATTTTGATTCATATTTTTTCTAACCAGTGAATCAGGAATAATAAAATATCAACAAGGCATGAGAACAGTCATAATTCCTCATCAGTATTAAATTAGGATAAAATAATCATCAGTTTTTACAATCAAGGAACAAAACTGTTGAAAAATTAATAACAATATCTACTATGTACCAATACACAAATAACAAAACTGCTATGTAATTTCACATTTGCTTCACACTTGAGTAGTATGCTGAAGAAAAATAATATGCCACCTCAATTACAGCATTTGCCACTTGGTAATCCATGAACATACCAAATACCACACCTGACTGGTTACCACCCATGTTAAAATAATGAAACCAAGTTCAGCTGTACAACAGATACAGTATACAGTACAGTTTATCGTTAACTTCAAGTTAATAATCAATATTAAACTCAACACTACTTTTACCATTTTATAATGGCTTAAGTAATATATGGGAAGAGTAAACTGCAGACTTTTAATTCTATACTGATATACAGTACTGTACTACAGAAATGATCACACAAAATTATGTTTCATTAGTAATACTGTATCTGTTCTGTACTGTCAAGTGCTGGACATTACATGAGCAGTTTAAATGACAAGATAATACAAATTCTCAAACCATGACAAAGATAATTTATGAAGCATTTCTCACACAGTGTTCAATTTCCCTCCCATCCTTCAAGAAAAATTGAAAGCACAGATATTGTATATTATGTACTGTAAAAATTATGCTGCTCTGATTTAAGTTATTTTATGTATCTGTAAACAGTACTGTACTGTTATTCCAGGTTTTATCTAGATATATATATTGTTTAATAAAATTTACAAAGATTGTTATGAGTTTTTGTCTTGTCCTGATATATATCTTGATAAAATCACACGGGAAAATGGAAACAACGGAGTACCTTAGCTTTCGTCTTTATTCAAGACATCTTCAGTTGCCTCTGAAGATGTCTTGAATAAAGACGAAAGCTAAGGTACTCCGGTGTTTCCATTTTCCCGTGTGATTTTATCAAGATTTATCTTATCCACGTTTATATATATATATATATATATATATATATATATATATATATATATATATATATATATATATATATATATATATATATATATATATATATATATATATATATATATATTGTATATATATATATATATATATATACTGTATATATATATATATATATATACACACACTGTGTGCGGTATTTGTGACTTTGTTTTCAATGGATTTAATGTTAATTCACGTTATTCCTTTTGTTGTTCATCATCTTGAGGATGCTGGTCTTCTTAATGTTTTAATATACTGTACTTTACTGTAATGATCCAATACAGAAAATAATCAGAAATTTTATAAATATACAAACACAACTCAACTTGTAATTAATTCCCACATAAAACACTCAAAGCTGTTGTGAATGTAAGTGTAGCATAACAGCTTCATAATGAAGTCATCACTGATGAAGGAGAGAAGTGAATGACTCAGCCATGAAGGTTGCATGCATACTTTCATCACTTAAGTTGCAGCTTTGTAAATACTAAAAAAATGACTAAGTAGTCCTGTCACTGTAACAAATGCAAGACATCTGTAGTAACATGGCTGTCCAGCATACTTGTTACAAATCAAGCTCCTCATATGCACATGCTACTTGAGGATGTAGCCCTTAAAATCCAAAAATAATTTAAGGCTTGAAATCTATAAATAAATATTTAATTGAGGAAATTATAAGTGTACCTCCAATTGCATTGATAATCATTAACAATATATTGTTGCAAATCTTCCCACTACAGTACTCTGAAGGACAGACGTACAATATACCATAGTGAAAATCCATATCAAGATACAAATTATTTCTTAAAACTTTATCACGTAAAATACAACTGTCATGCCCACATTAAGTAAACACAAGTCTTAGTGATGTAATAACACCAGAGGTAATCAATACCATATGCAGATGCACATTAAAGGCAAAGTGATGAACATTCTACAGCCAATCACTTTGTGTGGCTAAATACTTCTTGTCATAACGGATAAAAGATACTGGTTTGTTCGTCAAGACATAACTGATAAAAGATACTGGTTTGTTCGTCAACACCACCGTTGCCAATAAGAAGGCTATGAGGCATATAAATGTATCATACAATTACAAATAAGAATAGTATAATGAGTCGCATAATTTAAGTCAAAAAAATTTACCCGGGTTGCTTGGAGACCGTCATCCTCGCGTCACTTTTACCGTTAATTTTCCATTTCATCTTTTCTTCTGAACTTAAACTTACACCACTGACATATGAATATACCCTTCACTCTGTTCCTGAGCTCCATGGCTGCATATGTGACACACTCATTAATTTTGACCTTAATGTATTATCCACTAACTTTTTTCCTCTAATACAACACAACAAAATGCACTTATCAAAATTCCTATTTTCTGATCCTGCGGGATATTAACATGTAATGTACCATGCTTAAAAGTATATATAGATATTTTTTTTGCACTTCCATTAAAGGTTAAATTTAATTAAGGGTGAATCTTCTGGTTACAATTGACAGTACCCTTAATAGATAATGGCTAGCCACAGCATTGTTAATGACTCACTCACACACTAAAAGATTTCCTGACTTGCATCTCCCTTCATATGGACAAGACTAATGATGCCAACCAGAATGTAAGTGCCACTTTTAAACCCCAAACTTCCAGATTAGTATTTTTCACCAGTGACATCATAATATCCAAAAGTTTGCAACGTGTGCAGTCTAATTATTAGAGTTCTCAAAGTATAGCTGAACATTAGCCAGTGTTGCTTTGGGTTTGGAGAATCTGCAGGCTTCTTGGAAGAGCAAATTTATCAGCAGCAGATCCATGATGCACTGCAGGTGTCTAGGACATGGAGGAGCAGGGGAGACAGGGGGAGCCCATCTGAGTCAGAACACGGTCCAACCATTGTAAAGGCCCATTCAAGTGCAGTTCTATCCAACATGGCGTTGATGTGACTGTTTGCCGTCTGGAAATCATCATCTTGTTAACAAAAGTACAGCATACATATTTACATACTGTATGCACTAAGAGTTCATATGTACAATTTGCATCATAGGGAGTGAGAAAATTTGTGGTCGATAGAGATATATCTGGTATCTTCTCGAAGTAGTAGTTAGTATTTTTTCACAAATTAATAACTCTGGCCTGAAGAATCAGTGATTCATTCATGAAAAAATACTACCTACTAACTCAAGGACTTGCCAGATACTTTCTCACTTCCTAGAATGCCAATTGTATTGTACTTCTTAGGCAATGTAGTACTGTACAGTAGATGCAGTTTTTGACAAATAATGTGAATCATAAATGTTTACATGCTTTACAGTTGGAAATTAAATTATATATTTCAGAACATTACTTGGAGTAATCTGAATATTGGTCTACACATCACAGACCTCAGGCAGTTGGCTACTGCTTACATAGTACATAATGATTACTGTATATTGTATTTACATGCAAAAAAATAAATGAATAAGATAAATAACATTAGAAAATTAAAGTGAGGCCTGATAAAAGGTTTATATGTATAGTATTATGGATGACAGAAAAACTGCGCTACATGGATCAGTTAATTGCTGCCTTACATAATCACAGCTTTCTAGGTAAAGCATGGGTTAGTAAGTGATACTTTAATCTAAATCCAGCAGCTGTTTTGGTGCAAGAGCTAAACTGCCACAGGGATTTGTCTTTGTAAATGCATAACTTGCATTTTCAAGGCAAAAGATAGATCACAATTGAGGTTATCCCTCTTCCTAACCAATTATTTACATGATGAATAGTTCTCTTGTGTGGCAGTTATTAACTGTTAAGTATACAACAGTTTTCCCTCCCTCAGAATGTCTAGAACTACTTGGCTGAGACAGACTCTGCTTGGTGAGATTTTAGCAGGTGTCTTGCCAGTCATTTATGATGGTCCATGACAAGCTGTTATATCTATAAAAAACATTAATTTTGAGGAAAACTCACATTAATTTCCAAGAGTCAATGACCAAATGATGATATTGGAATGTTACATGCTATTAATGCCACCTATATTTTCTCATGAGGGCAGAGCAAATTTGACAAGTTGCAGAAGTATGAGTGATCAGTATGCCAATAAATTTACATTATCATGGTTATCCAAACTTTACACTACAGGAGTTGTTTGAGCAAGCAAAGTACAGTATTTAACAATCAGAATTCACAAATCCTTTACCAAAAAATATATATACTGTATATACACTACAGGTACAGATATAAATATAGGGTTGTGAAATGTCATAGTTACATAGTTTTGTTTTGTCTCAAGCTCTGAGTTATGAAGAAAATCTCTTAAGTTACAATTTTTTAATATCTTATTTTCCATAAACTTCTTTTAAGTAATAATGAAAATATGGTCAAATAATGCAGTTTTTACTACACCTCACTACCAGTATGCTTACTTGTTTCACTTTTCTCTAACACTCGCAATGTTACCAAGTCTACAAATAAGCTTCCATTACATCATCACTCTCCTAAAATCACCATGTAACTTACTCCTCAAACATACAGTTATTTAGTTAGTTGCCTGATTGTCTAATTTCTCCTCATTTACTCTCATGTCATACAGAAAGTGGAAAATTAAATCAAATAACTTTTTTTTCTCAAAAGGTATTCACAAATTTCATATGCTAATTATGTACACTCTCCCAAAAAAGTACTGGCCTCTTTTCTCATCGATACAATGTGTCACATTGGATGAATATTTCCAATCACTCATTGTGATTCCTGCATAAGGTTGGTAGGCCTGCCTTCCTAGTATCTGTGAGGTTGTTGCCAATTATTATTTCTGGTATTTGTTGTAATTATGGTGAATCACCGTGCTCCATCTTTAGAAGAATAATATAATGATATCAATGTAGCGAAAACATATCCATGGCAGTTAAAGGGTGGGTGTTTTCTGTTGAATATCCATGACAAAGACTAGTTCCCGAGACTCATTGGAAAACACAGCTTGCACCGGGTTACTGTGTGATGGGCAATGCCAGGCCGCCGTGCTATCTCCTTGTTGCATAGGCCTATGTTATGGAGGGCGATGATACTGCCTCGTGTTGCCTGTGATGTCTCCATAGTGACTGTCAATCCCACAGGAGGACTTGACGATATCATCTCGTAGTTTGTATCAGATAATGATCCGTTGCCAGCACGAATCATGAGATGATACGTTATATTCATAATATTTACCTCATCAACTGAGGTAGAAATAATATCAAAATGCAGTAAATCATAATGTCATTGTAATTGGATATGGCTTCATAATACACCTGTAATTACTATATTTGCAAATGAATATAATATCGGATCACAGTGTTTCATATTTTGTTCAAAGCAATTCCATTGTAACCTCGGTTCATGAAAACATAGTAAGGTTATATTCCTATTTGGCAACCCATCTGCTGGGGCTGATATAGTATCTAAGGTTATTGGTTTTGCATTTGATATCATAATTCATCCTATTTCATTTCACTATGTAGACAATAGTTGGTATACTGCAGATATCATGGTGATTATCAGGTGCAAGAAGCAAGAACGAAAGGTGCAACTCGCCATCAGAAATACCAACCGAACCGAGACTGCTGTGTACGTGTTATTGCGTTCATTTCCAAATAAATCAGGCCAATACTTTTTTGTGTGAGTGTACAATAAAGGTGTGGAATTTGGAAGTGAACCAAAATTTGGAGGTGTGGACATTGCCGGCAATGCAACGAAGGAGGGTGAGCTTTCCTCTTTGTGATCTGCCACCACTACCACCGCCAGCCTCACACACAGTAACGCTTGGGTAGTTTTACTTAATGGCAATATCGATCATGTTGCCACTTCCATTCCGAGTAACAGTGTCTCTCTCGGAATACAGAGATGGTTTCCCTATCCTTTTGTGAATAAATATTGATTTTGACCATAGTGGCGCTTTGTCCACTCTGTTCGTGCGTGTCTCATAGAAAAAATCGTGTTTCCTGGTGCATTAAAATCATAAGACATAACAATGAGAGTCGCTTACCTGTATTGCGCTCCCCAGCCTTTAACAAATGAGATGCGTATGGTGCACATCCGAGTTAGTTGGTACACGGCCTCAAAGCCTTGGCTAACACTCTGAGCCAGCTGGTGTGCAAACTCTTGATTATTGAAGATTTTTAAGTTACATCCTGCAAAGAAAGAAGACTAGGATTAGAAGGATAAAAATTAATCTACATTATACTACAGTACTGGCAATTTTTTCATCATTTATCCTTACTTTTTCTACTTTAGAGTGAATCAAACAGTACAGGAACCTCAGAGTAAAAAAAATAATGGTGCATGGAATGTGTAGTAACAGAAACAAGCAAACAATCCAAGTAGAAACACGTTGTTAAGTAATCAAATGGTATATGTAAACCATGACCCTAATATACTGAGTGACTCACAATCAATCTTTCTCTGATGCTAGGAAGATATGTTCAGTCCAGTACAGTATATGGCTGTCTAATAGAAAAACTGTCTTCATATTCTTGTAAGTACAGTACTTTATTTCCTTTGCTTATGCACTGAAACTATCGACACTTTACAGAGTGACTGCAGTGTATTTACAGTATAATGATGACATACAGAGCATTAATAGTATTTGTGATGAATGTTTTTCTTTCAGTTCTTCTATGTTTTTTATCACCAACACAGCATGGTAGATTAGGTACACTGTCTTACAACATATCATTTCTACATTATACAGTGCTTGAAGTACAAACACTGTACTGTACTGTACATATAGTGACCTATATTTTGGGAAAGTTTCATATATGGAATAGCATACACCACATGAAAAACAAAAGACAGATTAATTTTTACCTGGAGGTATTTTTACCACAGTTGCTGGATGCCACCCATAGCGCTGATTGCAGTTAGGACTCTGAACAAAGATGGAAGAGTCCGAGAGACATTCGGCAAACACCTCTCCACCAATGTAATATAGCCGGACGCCCTTGCCAATGTGACGTCTTGTCTGCTCTACTACTGGGTTTCGATTAACGTTGGACAGGAGACCTAGACAGAAACGCTCACTGTTGCTGGGATCTGTGGACAAATAGTTATACATCAGTATGCACATCAATTGGCAAGAGAGCAAGAAAATATCCATTACAGTACACGTATCTGGAACCCTAGTGCTGTACTGTACGTTACCAGTCATAAAAATTGGAACAGGGAAAAAATGTGAGGAACCCCCAAAAAAGGAGTACGAAGAAAAAAAAAAGGAAATGAGAGAAGAATGAAAATAAAGAGTAAGAATAAGACGTCAGAAAATTTTACACTGGAGTTTGGTTTTCAAAAATTGTGAACACCAACAAGCCGAGTAATAAGACAGTGTGAAGAAAATGAGTTACTACAGGAAACATACAGAGGGAGCTTCTGTTGGTTATAAGTGAAGCCTTGAATAATTACATAAACCAATATATCAGGTGAGATATAGAGTGGAAGCATCAGTTGTGTGGGCAATCGTGAAAGAATTTGGAAGTGTGTGTGTGTGTGTGTGTGTGTGTGTGTGTGTGTGTGTGTGTGTGTAAGAAAGTTGATAGTGAAGGTGATCAAGTGTAAAGTAATGGTAAAATATAGAAGGAAAACAAAGAGAAATAAATGTTTACATGAATGGAGGAAGTGGAGTATGTGAGATATCAGAATGACACACACACACAAGATCTAAAGAAGGACTATGGGAGCAGTACAGTACACACATCAACACCATGGAGAAAAAATACAGCATAGAAGTAATATGTACCTTAACATATCAATAACAACAATGTGAGTGAGACTGACCAGTGAAACCATCGACAGTGAGAGACGGCTGTGATGCATGGAAGGTCTCACCAACGCGTGTGTTGAGCTCGTAGTAAGAGATTGAACACCAGAAGGCAGGTTCACAATATGTTACCGGCTGTGCATCCAAGGGTGGACTTGGAGATGTGGGGATCATACCTGTGGAGGAAAATCACCATTAAACATCTACTATACTGAAGTTTCTCTCTCTAGGTATATAACTTAAAAGAAGGAACTGTACACCACATGTAACTATAGTAAGAATATATACAAGGTTATACAGCTATAAAAAGGGACAACTAAAATAGATAAAGCTGTAATGGAAATAAAGGATTGAATACATTAACAATACTGTATCACCGCCAACTGGAGACTCTACCAGGGACCAAACTCCATAAGCGTTCTCCTCCTCAACAGAACAAAATCTCCGATAAGTGTTGACTAAAATTACCGAGGCCCATCAATGGAGATACTGTAGTCCTTCCTTACAAACCAAATACTGTATTAAGTGACTTTTTCCAAACTATTTTACCCCCTTTTGTGGAAATGTCTGCAGCCCCAAACTACCAAAAAGTGTTGAAAAGTAACAAAGTCATCCTCCTGTTCTTTGTGTCACTGTAATTTCGATAAGATGAGTAAAACCGTATTCAAAAACTAATACCCAGAGGCAAGTATTACTGAACAAGGCAAGCCATCTAGGGTCTTCAGCTCATAATTTTGTTTCAATAACTTCATAGGACATAAATTTTAAGGGATTTATAAAACTAAATAACCAACTTAAAACTAACATAAAAATAAAGAAAAAAAAACACCTGGCTTATTTCACCTGAAGATTAACCACCCCAGCATATTTCACCTGAACATTAACCACCCTAATGCTAACCTAACATTAACCTGACCCCCCTCCTCCAGGTAGCGTTAGGTTATTTATTTAATCATCAGGTAAAATAAGCTAGGGGCTAATCTTCAGGTTCATGATTACATTGTGTGTGTGTGTGTGTCTAGGTGTGTCTGTGTGTGTTTTTTATTAGAAACTGACAGAGAATACAGGTAAAGATAACAAAAACAATAGAATTTATAAAAGCAGCACACACACACACAAGTTACACGCGCCTCACAACCCCCCCCCCCCCACACAAAACCAGAATACTTGGGGGCCAGCCAGAGTAGTGAGGGAGGTGTGCTGAATGAAAGTCGTGGCAGCCTTTAAGCTCACGATAATGGACTCGCAGTAACAACCATCATTAGAGATAATTAGTGTATCATTTGGGATATTAGCTCATTCTGGTATACTGCTATGTGTTGTTACCTAAGAATAAGATTATCACACAAATGTAATGTTAGAGCATAATATTCTCTCTCTCTCTCTCGTAGACACACCCGCACATACACATATTCGCCCTCCATAGATAGTGTAACTTACAATATATGTGTGTGTGTGTGTAGTGAGACATAACCTTTCCTATAATGCACTGGAAGAATACACAGACAAACATCCACACCTACAATATACCACATAAATTAACATCACCACCAACAGATTGTCTTCTTATACAAAAGGGACTCACGGTATTCATTAAAAACCACAAACTGAATAAGAAAGTATGTTAGGGGGAAGAATAAGAACACCACCACCACACACACTACACCCATGACCAAACACACCGTAACTCTTCCCATTGATAACACAAATGGCTGATTACTGAACTCGTCTGGTGTTCTTATTGTAATATATCCGCTTGGCGAGTTTGGTGAACATCCGCTGATATTTATTACGAGTTTTGTTCTCATTATTTACCACCACGAACGGAGAGTATTTTGTGTGTTAGCTATACGTATGAAACAAACATTCATACAACATACACACATGCACTAATAATAATTATAAAATAATAACATCAACAAGAGTAATAGTAAAAAAAAATAATAAAAATAACAATAGTAATGCCAATAGAAGTAATAAGAGTAGCAACAATAGTAATAATAATAATAGCAATAACATCAGTAATAATAATAATAATAATAATAATAAAAATAATAAAATATTAATAATGGTTGTGTGTGTATAGGAGGTAGCGAAGGAGGGAGGGCAGCAGGCGAGCTAGAGGGCGAGAGAGGTGAAGGTAACAAGGGGTAAGAGCCACACGTGTACACCCCCCACCACCACCAGCAGGGAGGGATGAGACAGGGGAAGACACACCCTCACCTCCCCAACCACCTACCATCACCACCTATCATGCCTTTCCCCACTATCACCTACTAATCTACCATCCCCATCACACCTTTCACTATTATCAACTACCATCACAACCACCTACCATCACAACCACCTACCATCACTATCACCTACCACAAACACCACCATCACCACCTACCACATCCTCCACCACCATCATCCTATTACATCCTTACCACAACTACCACTATCTACCATACTGCCACAAGAAAAAAATACTAGCCACACACACACATTAATTCTCTCAATGAACAACAAATTCTACATCATGACTAAGTTATATAAACAATGCCTCAGTCAAATGAGCAACCGAAAATAAAGTCAGATCAGCATTTGAAAATAAACACAAAAAGGTCAAAACAGAATCCAATACTAATAATAAAACCGCGCGTGGAAGAGTTATGACCAGAGCAGAGCCTCATATGTGTTGCCAGGAGGAGGAGGAGGAGGTGGTGGCGACATTCTCCTTTATAAAGCGGAAGGTTAACTTGTAAAAGCAACATCCGGGAGGTTTTTTTTTCTGGTGTGTGTGTGTGTGTGGGGGTCGTCTACAGCTAGCAGACAGACAGGAGGTACACGTGGACCAACCAACCAGCCAGCCAACCAGCCAAGCCAAGCACTACCTGATCACACCTGCCCACCCAAAACACACACCCGCCAAAAATCCGTGTACAACAGTTATCACGCCTCAATTATACCCCGTGTGACACTAGTCCAACACGGGGTCCTACATGTTCTTAATTTAATGCATTATTTCTGCTTCTTTTTTCTTCTTTAATTCTATCTATTTGTTATTAATCGTGCTACAGTATATTCCTCTTAATCCTTTCCTATCGCTTCCTACACCTGTCTGTCTCGCCTCCCACAAACCTGGATATGACTTATCCCCCCTCTCTCCCTCCTTCCCTCCCGCCTACCCTTCCTTCTCCCCCTCATTCCTTCCCTCCTTCTCTCCGCCCCCTTTCCTTCCTTCTCTAATGTTTCTAAACCTGAACGAGACAAGATAGAGACGAAGAATATTTTACCATTGTGTTAAAATAAGGACAGATTTAAAGAGTATCTCAGCCAAGCACAAAACAGTCGACCTTTATCAACACACAAAAGAAAATAAGGAGTCTGCAATAGGCCGGTTGGCCTGTGCATGGCAGCTCCTGTCGAGAGTTACTACCACTCTCTATCATTAAAATACAAAAAACCACGGACTGACACAAGACGGACATGACCACAACACAACATCGCCAGAGGCCTAACAGTATCACAGACGAGAGAAAATTTGTTAACTGGACTGATGGATCCTGACGCAGCTCAAACGTGTACTACAGTGTAGTGGTGGTGACCGCTGGATCATGGTGCCACACTTCACACCATCCATCACCAGTATAGTGCAGGTGTAGTAGTCATCACCAGGATAATGTAGGTGTAGAATCATCACCAGGATATAGTGTAGCCATCACCAGGATATAGTGTAATCACCAGGATACAGTGTAGGGTTAAAATATACAATCCCTGACTCACTGACCGGGATAAAACCATCAAGAATCCTGCACTAACGCAGTTTATGGTGACTGTGGTGTACCTGCCAACACACACACTCACTGTTACGATAATTCACAGTAACCCAGGGAGCTCTGGGTGTGGTGCCTTAAAAAGATTGGCACACAGTTTATTCCCCTCGTAACTATGGGGTAGGTGATTACATCTAGTTATGGTAAAGTCTCTCGAATAGTTCCAACGCCACTGTGTACTCCCGCCTTCGTGTTGAACCATAAGTGTAGCAGTTAGAGGCGTTTTAACATGACCAATTTGGTGAAGATTTTAAGGCACGTCACTTAGGACTGTACCCTCGTGTGGTGTCTTAAGTGAGTCCGTTAGATACCTTCTCACATCTGCAGTTAGGTGAAAATATGAAGGTACGAGGCTGAGGGGATGGGAGCGTGTGTACCATTAGGCGGCAATCACTGTGCAGAATCAAGGGGGGAAGTCCATGAGGGCTCATGCTACTTAAACTACCCGCTCCCCAACATAACATTATCTGCCAATAATGGATAATCCCACAGTAGAAGCTCAGAAAAAAGAGGTGGTCCAAGCACTTTTTATCCTGTTTAACCTTTCAGCTTGGGAGGCGAGTGGTCGGCCGCCAGTGTGCAGTGCCGCACTACCACATTCGCATTTCAAATTCAACATAAATGAGACCGAACCAATCCATTCTGCCTGGCTGTTATTCATACAGGAGGTTCACTACAAATGCTGATGGCTGGGATAATGGAGGGCGGTTATGTTCACTTATGAGTGGATCAACCAGTAGCAAGTATGATGGATTTTAGCTGGGTACGTAGTGAAGAGTAACTTTAAAGGGTTTTCTAGGACCTGCCGCACACTCCTCTCACGCCCGTTACATTACTCACACTTGATCCTAATGTAGTGTGTTACCTGCGTGTGCCATACCTCCCACTCACACCACCTCCACTATACCTGACCAGTGGTGGTGTGATATTACAACACACCTTTGGACTGGCCAGTGATAAGTCTCATTACAAGTGCTGAAGGTGTACAGATGCAGATCTGAACACTGGGTCGTAAGCAGACATGAACTTACATACAGGACATGGGTGTACTGAACAAAAAAGGACCAACCTGACACGTGGAACAGCTTGTGCACCTGTCGAGACACAACAAGAGGTCACCAGACAGACGTACACTCCCCCCACACGTGTAGGAGGAGTCGGGTCGTCTCCTGTAGGCTCCAGGCACCTTTGTGACCCCTTCACATTCTTACCCGCCCACACCAGCTTATTTATATATACAGGTATATATAACTATAACTATATATATATATATATATATATATATATATATATATATATATATATATATATATATATATATATATATATATATATATATATATATATATACATACTTA